AAAATTAAACATCTAATAATTCTAAAACAAAACAACATTAACTTCAAATTCAAATACTATAATCGAATTTGTGTTTAATCCAAATTAACAACCACATTTAACCTTAAAAGTTTAAATTTAAATTATACATGGTAACCCATCATTACTACAAGTGCCGATACCAATAAAAGCGTTCGCATGACGTAGTTTACATAACAATATCTTATAGTTCTACAGTCAAGTCATATGTAAATCGAAAGATTGGTGTTGCTTGCAACACCCCCTACATTTTTTTAGTTATACAGTGAGTACCAGATTACCGGTAAAAACTTTACACCTGTGACTGTCCGTTTGTCCGGCTGACTGGTCGCCTATTCCCACGAAACTCCAAAAGTGCTTTGATACGTACGTCAACTCCTGGGGCAGACTTCGCAACATTATTCTTTGATAACATTGTACGAAACGGGAAACTTGCGAACGTCTTACAAACAAGACGTAAGCACCGGCGTACTAATTTAGTAATGTCTGTAAAGAACTAAAGCTGTCCTTAATCTCAAAAGGTCGGGCACGACAGAGGAATAAAAACGAAACAAAAACTTCCCAGCGATTAATTTCATAAAACACCCCACAAACCCTTAACCAATAAACGGTAACCGTAATGAGATTAAATACCAAAAAGCCGGAAGCTAAAATCAAGAAAGTGCGATTAAGTCTAACCTCCGATGTACACTCGTCAGAAGACTCTCCGGAATTTGACAGACGACAGCCGGGGGCTCATGGAAATTGACTCAGTGACGCGTATAATGTTAAAATATCCAAGCTCATACCTACACATCAAAAGAAGAAGATAGTAATATACAAGTGCCTTTACTTGAAGCGAGAACTACTTTCATTAATACCAACCGCCATAGCTAACGTAATTATGAAGGCGTCAGCTATAGCGAGGGGGGTAGAAGCGAATTCACTTGTTTCGACTTGACGTCGCATTGTTAATTAAAGTTAATTGTAACGACGGAGAGCCTGAGAATCAAACTAATATTTTGAATTGCTTTTGAGGGAAGGCGTCGTTATTTCGTTTTATGATTATGGATTATATGCAGGCGGAATTAGCTAGTGCGGCGCGATCGTAAACTTGCCAAATCGGCAGATTAATTAAGAAAACGTGAGCTAACGAATTGTTCACCCAAAAAAATTAACCCTTTTTTAATTTAATTACATCGATTTGCCGCTCGGAAGTTACGAGAAACTTAGAAGTACTTCTTTGATTCAAGTTAAAGATTTTAACTTTAGACATAATCATTAAGGCACACAAGGGGGAAAAATGAGAAGGATTTTTGACGTATAAACTCGATCTATCGAGTGTTTTGCGATTTTTGTTCAAGGAAAAACGAAGAAATGAAAAGAAACCCTTATAACAAATTATATAAAAGCGAGCAAGAGGGCTTAATAATTGATAACACTGCAAACGCTTCACAGTTCAAATGCGTTAACATCATAAATATTTAGCAGGGGTTAAGACTGTAACGGAAATTTAAAAATGGTGACTAATTAATCACACAGTATTGAGAGAGCATGAGCAAATTCCAATGACGAAAAGGACATTCGAATGAATAAATTCAAATTATTCGAACAGGTTGTTGAGAAAAATTTGTTTACGTCTGTATATAAATTTCGATAAACGCGATAAAAGTTTGTAGTAGTGGGGAAGAACTGATAACAGAAATCGTCCACCAAAAATGTTGTCCTAGCAACACGCGACGGAATTTTGCTACTGCGAAAACCAGAGGCTGAAAAAACAGCACTCTGTAGATTTATTTATTTATTTATTGTTGGCTTTTACTTTTAAGTGGCCGGGGGTTCTACCAACCCATTACCCAACCCATTATACATTCACAAATATCCATGCCTGAACCTGATGATGTTGGATTTTGATTAAATAATTGTTTTATTTTATTTTGGTAATTTTAAATTTAAATTACATACTAAAAGCCTAGATTTATTCAGTTAGGAATTATTTGCGTAGTGATTGTAAAAGTTTATCTCCTGTTTTTCTCTAATTGTTGCGATAAAGTAAAAGTAAACTGATTATTAGTTTCAAGATAAGCACATATTACCGCCAAAGTGTACAGGTGTTTTTTGGTGATAAGAAAACACAGGTGTTTAATTTATTCGAAGACGCATTAAATTGTTAAGGAAGTCGGGGCGGAAGCTGAAAGGGTTTTAAATAGGAGGGGAAGACCTTAATCGAGGCCTTTCGGTCAAACTTCTTGTTTGGCGGGCGTTAGTTGCTGCAAACCAGTCAGTTTTTCCGGTATCGAAGCTTCTGCCAGTTATAAAGTTTACTTGAGTTAAGCACAAGTTGTCTTACGTTGCACTTAATTTTTTGCACTGTAATAATTGATTGGTTAATGTTATAATCTAACGATGACTGTGAGTGTTCGTTTTCCCTAGATGTTTTGGCAGTATCTTTCTTTATGTCCTGTTTATGGGAGTGTTTACAAACCGTGGCGTGCGTAAGAGCAATCTTACACGAAATTCATTGCCCCACAGCGGTTATGGAAATTCTCCCGGGTCTGCCTCCACTTGATCTCCTGGTGCAGGATCGGGCCCTGAGGATAATCTTACGACTGCGAACAAATGGATGATTGAACAACAGAGACGGCCAGCTAGGTCACTTTCTAGTTCTAGATGAGGCAGTCAGGCGGCTGCCCATACTGGAATACAGTTTCTCGTTCCTAATCAATTAATTCATTATAGAGCGAAACTGTTGCATTCTTTTCGATGCATCCCAACCAGATTCACCCACATCTTCACAGATGGTTTGAGAATCTGTTTCGCCCTAAACTTTCCACAATATTAATATAAACTTAATTTCTTGGAAATGATGATACTTCGTATTTCGTGATTAGTTTTAAGTTGGTAGGGATCTACGAAGGGTGTCTGAAATGATCTGTGCTTATATTTGAATACACATAGAAACAAGTTAGAAAATGTTGATTGGTAAACCTAAAACCATACAGATCTTTGCAGCATAATATGATGATATGGGTCTAAAAGCACTACAGTGTATGGAGTAATTTTAAAAGGTAATAAATTTATCACAAGAAACAGCTGCAAATTTCATACAATTTAAACCTCATCAAATTACCCACGTACACCCATCTGAAGACTACATAATGGGCGTGCGTAATTTTATTTAATTTGATAAGAGGATTAAATTGTATGAAATTTGCAGGTGTCTCTTGATAAATTTGTTATCTTTTAAAATTATTGCTAAGCATTATTAAGATACTCTAAGTTAGACACATCTGGTCAAGTTTGCGTTATTAAAAAAAGGCCACCTCTGGTCGTTTTCGATACGGAGTTTTATTACCGGACGAAATTTAATTAACGCACGTGTTCTTATCGCTGTTAGAAGATGCATCTCTTTCACTATTTTGCGGTAAGTGGGGACGATGGACGCGATCTTTTGAGGAAGTCCAACTGTGATTGGCGGTATTTTTGAAAATCTTGGAAAATAATTTTTGTTATTGCCAATTGTGTGTTTATTCGAATCCTTTGTGCGGCCCAGATGGGGTCTTCATGTCAGATTTGTCTATCATAACACCACCGAGTCCGCTAAATTAAGACATTTTAAGTCAGTATTAGAATTTTTCTTTATGGCAAATGCCGGATGCCCGCAAAATCAGTTGAGTATATAAAAAAATGTAAGAATGCACGTGGTAGACTGCTGTTCTTCGGTGAGGCATCAAAGTTAGTTTACTGTTAATGTTGTGGTACCAGGAAATCAAAACATACGGTACTTTAATTTCCGAGTCAAGTAATGTCATTTTACTGACGAGTTTTGTATTAAATTTTACCCGAAATCGTATTTTAATATAAAATTTCAATTTTCATATCGAACATTTGAGTAATGTCAATCTGTCAGTGATGACAGGAGTCATGCAGACATTTAGCAATGTGACAGGTGCGGTTGGAAAAGTGACAGAGGTGCGGCCGGTAAAGTGACAGGTGCGGCCGGTAAAGTAACAGGCGACAGGAAAAGCAGTCTGGTCTGCCTCTGTCATGGAAACTAAACTTTCCTGACATAAAGTAGGCATGAAAATTTCATGACGATTTTGGGAAAAAATACGTGCAACCTTTTTGAAAAATGGTTGGACCTAGGAATATATTATGTTTTATTATTAATCAATCAAACACACGTAATACTATAAAATACAATTTTGGCTTCAAGTGTTGCTAGATTAAAGTAATCTCCATGGCTCTACTTTGTAATTACTCAACGTACCTGACTGTCTACGAGCTTACTATTTTTAAGTTCAATTAATACCGAAGCTTAGTCTTATATCAACAATCTCAGTCGTGTCTGATATAATCAGTTTAAATTTGTATTATATGTGGGGGCCCAAACAAATGCGGCATTAAGTTTTACAGCTTTAACTTTACGACGAAGGTTATAGTTTACTTAACAGTTATACGTCAGAGCTTTGTAGAATTTTACGCTTGTTTATACAATCCTCACGTGTATTGTAGGGCAACAACACGCGCCGAGCACGTAATTTACATAACCTATTTCTATAAAAATTTAAAAAATCGCATCCCTAAAAGAAGTGCGCTCGTGTTGAAACGGGGTGTTTGAAATGGTTACGGTGGAAAGAATCGTCAGTGGTTAAACCCCACATCTAAATTAGAAATTCCAAACGTTTCGGTTTAAAAACAGTTCACCTATGCGGCGTTGCACTCTCTTTTATTATTTGAAATTATTGCGGTATACTAATAATAACCCTTCGGCGCAAACTTTGTGGTAAAATCTACTATAAATTAATTAATTACCGCAACTGTAATTAACGCTGTAATAATATCTAAAATATGCATTGCGTGTGGCCAGATTACATATAATACAACATGGACTGCCATGAAATATTCGACATACAAACAATGCGAAACACTGGACACACGAGAAACAATTTACTAACGTCGCCCCCAAACATTTGCTTCCCTCCCGTAAATAATACTTTTTTCCTCTTTTTTCAGGTGAAAGTAATGCTACGCGTTTCGACGCCGCCCGGAAACGCATCCCCCGAAAATGGGAGCTTTAATAATTTCTTTAATTTGGATAAACGAAAGAAGCAGGTTACGCTAATGGATCCGTCCACGTGCGGGTCGGTTGCACCCGAAGATCGAAGGGTTGGTGTCGCCGCGCCGAAAATGTTCGCTTTCGACGCAATTTTTTCGCAGGACGATTCGCAGGTACTGTTTTATGCAATTTTGTTAGCCATATTAATTGTTCCTAATAATTTATTCGCTCTGTAGCTGTGTGTTTCATTTCATGCATGGGAATGTTTTATATGAACCTTACTTTCTGCTCATAAATTAAATTGCGCTGTGTTTACTTTACATTTTTATATTCCTGTGGGAATGTTTCCCCATCTACGAGAATTAGGCTATTCTGATCAGGTTGTTGTATTCAGAATTAAAATTAGCACTAGAAATATTTTAATGTGTTGAATATTTAATTGGATTTATTTTTACCTGGTTTGTTGCCTATTTTTATGTTTACGACGTAAGAACCTAATATATTAACAAGCTAAAGTTTTGGGAGATTGGGAGACGAAGCCAGAAATTTTCCATAATCTTAATAAAAGTTCTTTAATATGTGACGGTATATTCACATCTTATGTTTACTTTGTTAGACGGTATAGGTACCTTGTTTACTAATGAATGTTTAGGGTTGCTTATTTTTATGTAGATACTATACTTCTTTCATGAAACCACCTTTGGCAACATAAACAGTCTCACCTTGAACGCATTTTATATCGTTTTATGAGATATGCTGTGATCTATCGCCGATTTAGCATTTACCGACTTTTACATCGAAATGGGAAATGGCTGCTTGTCGCATTTTTCATGGATCGCATTTTTCTTTGCGTGTGTTACGTTCACTTTGAGCAAACCTAACAAAATTACCACGAGATAAGCACACGATAAGCTCAGGAAAAGTACAGGTAGATAGATAGATGTATATTTGTGTTGTACAGAGTGAGTTAACGATTGCGCGGAGTAACTTAATGCTTTGAAGATATGATTTTTCGATAGAGTGCTTTTGTATTATGATATGGTTGAATATTCTCCACATTTTAAAAATTGTTGGTTGTGGGCGCACCCCCAAAATGGGACATGTTTTTAAATAGAACCCCCTGTATTTGATTGCATTTTTGAATTCTACGTGTAATTGTACGTCTTTTTTTATTATATGGTTAATATCCGAAAAACGAGTAGTTTTAAAGATAATTCGATTTGTAAGAAAAATTGGGCATTTGCAAGCGTCAGTATATTGTCAAAATTATTAGGTACTTAATTTTTGATCCCAGGTTTTATATCTTTCATCCTGGGTTAAGTAAAAGTCAAATAAATACATCTACTATGTTTTTGGTAGGTCCAAAGTTTTTTTTTTAATGGAACGCCCTGTATATTTTTCTGTCATCTTTTAGCTCTTCCAAAAACCTTTAACTTTTGATAATAATGTCCCATACCTATCTCTGATATTTTTCAAAATATCTTGGTTTTTCTGGTTTTTACATTCTAATCTTAAATAAGTTATATGTAATTTACATAATAACGGGGTGGCCATGCAAAAAAAGGCAGTTTTTATCTATCACGTCCAAAACGAAAATCATATCGATTAATTTATTTTTCAAACAATTTATTTTAAGTCGAAAAACTGGAGAATAAGTATATAGTAGTAATAAGGTATAGGACATTATTATCAAAAATTGAAGGTTTTTGGAGGAGCTAAAAGATGACAGAAAAATATACAGGGTGTTCCATTTAAAAAAGTGAGATTTTTAATATGAAGTTTTGCAACTTTGAACCTACCAAAAAAACACCCTGTAAGCTATTTTTTTAATGTTTCATAGTAGATGTATTTATTTGACTTTTACTTAACCCAGGATAAAAGATATAAAACCTGGAATCAAAAATTAAAATAATTTTGACAATATACTGACGCTTGCAAATGCCAAATTTTTCTTACAAATCGAATTATCTTTAAAACTACTAGTTTTTCGGATATTAACATATAATAAAAAAGACGTACAATTACACGTAGAATTCAAAAATGCAATCAAATACAGGGGGTTTTATTTAAAAAAATGTACCATTTTGGCGCCCTACTTTGTGGGCGCACTCTGTATAATTCCAAATACTTTTTAAATGTGGAGAATATTCAACCATATCATAATACAAAAGGACTCCATCGAAAAATCTTATCTTCAAGGCATTAAGTTACTCCGCGCAATCGTTGACTAACCCTGTACAATGTATAAATATGTTTGCACACGTCAAATTGCAAATGCTGTATAATAACTATGGTATAAGCGAAAAGAAAAAAAAATATTTGTATAGATAAAAAACATTTAACAATAAAATTAATGTATATAAACGAAAACAAACGTTAGACGAAAAACAGAAAACTCAACCACATATATCAAAATCACAGTCTAAGTACTCTTCTACGCTGTAGAATGCATTATTTTGCAGATGTGCGTCGGGATGAATACTGGGGTTCTCGTACACTAGCTTAATTTTTTTATCAAAAAAAGGAACAACTCGTAGTCTGGAAATTATCAAAATCAGAACAGACTTCCCCAGACAACAACGGAGCCATAATCAAACAAATGGAGTAATTACAATTCGATTGTATAAACCTATATGCAATCAAACGTCGTTTGTCGAAAATAAAAAGATTCTCTTTGAACTATGGTTGTAACGGCAAGCAAAATTTGATCGACAACGAATTGTCCGTACAAACAGGATATACATACAAGAGCAAGAACACGACTTTAACTTCAAGAAAACTAATACTTTACGATGCACAAATAACTAATTTTATATTTAAGGAACGATAAAACTTACTGTCGGGAAAGCGCCATCTTGTTCGGGAATAATAAACAGTAAGGAACCACATGGTAAATAGTAGTCATCAATAAACAAAATATATTGTACAAGTAAATGGTACAGTAATACGTTGATTTGGTGTTAAGCTTTTCCCTTCCCCATTTATTACATAAACTACTCCACCCAATAATGAAACAAACCCTGACAACAAGAAAATGCCCCAACAGAGTTCACGGAGTGTATTGAATGCAATGGATATTGAAATACGTAAATAAAGTAAGTACATGGCAATGATAATTGACTGCGTACTCAAAGCGCTTGCATAAAGTTATCAAACGTAATGAATTTCAAATCCCCCAGTAAAAGGTACGGTACAAGATTTTCACGTGCCACAGCGCACAACGACTAATCGTGCATTCGTGCGAGAATACCTACGTAGATATTTCGCAGCGGAAAAAGTTAATCCAGAAGAGAGACTTGGGAGAAAACTATGCGAACTATGAGAGAACTTTGAAAGAACACTGAAAGAAGACAAAACCCTAAAAAATACATATTAATATTAATGCTGTGTCTAATCTGTACACTAGCAGATATAAATCCGCTAATCGTGTTCAATGGCGTAGGCACAACACATCAGAAATAGAGAGAAATACAAGAAATGTGGTAATATCCATTACCAAAAGCCCTTATTCAGGTAGGCAATAGTAAATGGAATGGAAACATTACAACTGTACGCAAGGCCAAATTAAACAAGTAAGTTCAATAAAACCTATAATACTCGGATGATCTCTAGCGGCGAACTCCAGAACTAAAGCAATAACAAATCTACCATACAGAAAGCTTAAACCTTAAGTAACCGGATTTACCAAAGAAATGCCTAGATGGCGTAAGAAAATACGGAATTTAAATTGTTAAGGATAAGAGAACGTTACACATGGGCACATTTTACGTATCGTAACTGTTTGATACAATATGGGAGTTTCAACCCCCCAATTAATATTGAGTTACCACCCGTCCGACTGGCGCTGATAACTTTTCCCAGTTCATTAACCAGCCACGACGGATCCGGTAGCCAATGGCACAAAAATAAGATCCTCAAAAAGTGAAATCCATGATCAGATTATGCATAACCATTGACTGGGGGTATTAGTCAATGGCATAACGCATTTAATTGTTTAGAATTGGGAGTGTACGAGTATGTACTAAAATTAAATTAAATTTCACCACTTGTAACTTCATATTCCAATTCAATTTTTCACGGTTACTTTTAACTGTAAAATGTAAATCCATATTAAGCTCATGTTCACGAAGCAAAATAAATTTTGTAGAGTTTAGTGCACAACAAAAAGTTTTTGTTAAATAAAAGGCGGAAAGGTTTTGAATTAGGTATAGTCGAACTCACACGTTGAATAAATTTAAAATTGCATTATTTCGCAATTGAAAGATGCAGTGATTTAATAACAAAGCCTAATAAAGAAAATATTTTAGACGTGCGGAAGCAGATATTCCGCATATATGGCAGAAGACCCAAACGATTTAAATTTCATTACAGAACCCCGTTGGCCTGTCACGATTCAATTAAGTAACATTCTCGGACGGATACCAGTGACCGAGTAGGATAAATAATCTCTTCTTGAACAGTAGCCTGAATATTTGATTCGGAATTCCAGAGCAGCGGGGTTAAATTTTAAACTATATAGAACGTACAAAAAGGGTTGTTTTAACGAGCCCTTCACCGCCTGCCTTTATTATGTTTCTGATTAACACATGAATACGTTATCGTGTACGTACCTAATGTAAATTAGCGGATTTTTATACATACGCGAAGCCGAATTTTATTTTGGCAATTTTATTTTGATTCTTTCCGAAGATTAAAAATAACAATGAATGTGTGATTTCAGCCTGAAACCCCTAAAACCAAGTATATGTATTTTCATTATAACGCAAAGCTATTACAACAGTCAAAATAGACCTGCACCAAATTTCACAATGTATATTCTAATCGTAAAACGAAATTCAAATAATATGAAATGAGCTTTTTAATATTTTTTTTAATCTGTTTTTGTATCTGCTAAATTACAGTCTGGGTATTATTAATATTCTGTTCTTCGATTGAACGTTCGACTCTAAGAATAATTAAAAACGTTTGTTCGTTTTGATGTAAAAATTAAATGTAGTACTTGCGTCTTTCCGAAAGCAGTTCTTATTAAATTTTTTAATTACACTAAATTGAACAGACGTTGCTTATTCGTTTCGAGATAACGGAACATCACATTTCATTTTCATTAGGAGTTCATCAATTTATTGCAAGCTTGTGTTTTCATTTTGAGAGATAGTAACTCCGCTGAAATTAA